TATATATATATATATATATATATAATTGTAGTGTTTAGGTGGTTTGCAAATCATTGCATTGTTTTACTATAGTACCACATTTTTGCAATCAGCTGTTGAATTATAGTTAGTTAGTAATTACCCTTAATAATTACAGTGCAGTCTTGGTGATGAATGCCTTCCTTTTAGTGAATATTTCCTTCTGTTCCTAGATTTTATTTGTAATAGTGACAACTGAAATGAAGGAGAAAAGAAAAGTATTTATTTGCTCTCAAATTACCCTGTGTGGCTGTGTTTTTTAATCAGAACACACTAAGATGATCTATCTTTTGTTATTTCTACAGGATGATTTTTTTAGACAGATTTTTTGTCACATCTGAATTTATTAATCAGTATCAAATTTACTTTCTACAACCAGTGGGGGGCTCACTGGTATCCAGACATTAATATTGTAAAAAATATTACTTGTTTCTACCATATGCTTACTGAACTAATTATTTGCTTTAGCTGTAGCCCCAAGATGCATAGTTTAGCTGAAAAAAACCCATAACTTGACACTATAACAATAATTTAAAATGCACTGATTCAGTTCTGCACTATAATGTAGCTGGGTTGGCAGTTGCTTGAATGCTGTGGATGTTACTGCCTTGTGACTGAGAGGCCAGAAAAATGTGTTTGGTTAAAGTGAGGGAGCAAGGAAAAGGACAAGTGGAGAAACAGCATGTCGGATCAATGAAGCACACATGGGTAAGCACTGTGAAAGGAAGAGACAGAAGTGACAGAGCGATATTTTACATCAGCAGCAGGGCTTCTTCAGTGATAATCACATATAGGCCCACTGCTAATTAAAGACAGGTTAATGATGAATGGACAGCGGGGTCTGCCACTTGGACTTTCTTCTTTAAATGCGACACTAGGGGGGGCTGTCGCTCCTCCTTAGCGTATTGCCGTGTCGCTGGACAGACAAGCAGATAGACAGGCAGAGAGGCAGTAAGGCTCACGTAGGACTATCTCCGTCTCCGGAAATCCTCCCATCCTCTCCCTGACTGATTTGCAATTCAATAAGTCACAATGTCATCTCTTTAGCTTTTACACGTTTAGCTGACAAAGGGAACCAGGGATGCTGCCATATGAAATATCATCTCGGACTCAAAGAAGAGCCTAATGTTCTTTCTCTTCTCACTTGTTCATCCCTCTGTCACACACACACACACACACACACACACACACACACACACACACACACACACACACACACACACAGTGATCCTATCAATATAAAGTGAATGAGTTTTATCACAAGGTGCTTGATGGATCACATTCAGCAGTTGTGCAAGCTGCCAGTTAAAGTGGTTGGTGCGCGCGTGCGTGCGTATAGGTGGGTGCTCGTGCGAAGTTGTCTTCTATCGATTACGGAGAGAACAGGTGTAGCGTGTGTCTTTGTATGAATAATGCAGGGAGAGACTTTGTGCACGCACTTCGCTGAGACCAATACACACAAACAACGCGGAGAAATAGGCCTCTTCTTATAGGACATATTCATATTGTAAACTTTTTTTTCTTAATCTCGTTAACATCAGAAGCTCCATTATTCTTGGATATATCCTTAACCTGTTTCCTCCGCACTGATGTGTTATTGTAGATCACCTGCAGCAAATTTTCCCGTGTTTTCATTATTATTGTAAGAGCAGCAAAATCTATCCTCTTAAAGAGTTCCTGTTGTTGCAGTGTGGGTATTTGTTTCTTTACCACAATGACCCAGTATTAAGAAAGTAAGGAAAAAACATATTAATGCATCTTATAAAACAATTCGGAAAAGAAAAAAGAAAAAATCTAAATAAAGTTCTATACACTCGATTGGTTACTTTACTGTCATTCAAATCTCCAAATCCCGCCCTTATCCCTCACCCTCCTCTGCCCCAGTCGCTGTTAGCCCCCCTTCTCCTCCTCTTCCTCCTCCTACCTCTGCCGGCTGGTGGAAGCTTCAGACCTCCTCTTCTGTCCTCTCCTCACTCCATCCCACGGACGAGTGTACACAGACTCTTAAGTTGAACCCAGACGCGCACACACAAGACAACACTTACAGCAAGAGGACGATAGTCGGAGGAAAGGTAGAGAGGGAAAAGAAAGGAGAGTGGACGGAGCTGCTGCCGAGCGAGCAAAATTTGGATTTTAATTTATTAAGCGAGCCCTAAATGACAGAGTTGTCTTTGCTTTTTACTGTTTCAAAGTCCACTGTGAAGTGCACTTTTTTTTTCGGGACTTCGTGTGACCCTCTGGTAATTTTTTAAAAACTTTGCAAGAAAGAAAACTGCGACAAAGGCAAAGAGAACAGCGCTTTAACCGTCAGTTTTAACCGTCCCGTATGGATAAATAAGGCAGAGAAGCGCACTGGTGGAAAAAAGCTCACTACGGGGAATTTCATTCATTCATCGGTTCTGGCTTGAAGGAGAGAGAGTTTTTTAGGGGGAGGCGGATTAAAAAAAGAAGCCAGCTTGCACCGGAATTGCCCATTGGGGGGTTCCTCTTTATTACTGACTGAAGAAGGATTTATAGTTTACTCCAAATCTCATCTGCTCGGTGTCTTAGGTCAAGCACAGCGGGAGCGCAGTTTGGTGAAAATGAGATTGATGGCACCAATGCGATAGTAATCTTTCTGTGGGAACAAAAGGAGAAAGAAATATAGAAATTAAAACATTGCCCTTTGAATCCTTATTGCGAACAGTCGTGGGGTTTTTTATCGACTGGAGGGATGGAGACGATCGGGAGAAAGGGAGGCGCGCCGTTGGGGTGTCGCCTCTGGAAGACGCTGCTTCTTCTTCTGCTGTGGAAAGGTAAGAAATGGAAGTGCGAACAAAAACTTGTTGCCAGCTTTACTTACTGTTATTTCATTGTTCTGGACTGGAAAACGGAATTTCCCGCTCGCTATTATTTATCTAGATATTTCATTTGTGGTGTCATCTTAGAAATGCGACATTATAGGCAAAACTGATAACTTTTGTAGTACTTACAACAAAGGCATACATTAGAATTGTATTTATATGAACTCTTTTTGTTAAAATGTTTCCTAGGGCGAGTAGATACCCCGAAGACGGTTAGAAATTGAACTATAACAGTGAGGTGAAGAGAAACCAAACACAAAACTTAGTTACCCAGCTTGCTATCCTGCAAGGAAACAATGTTAATAATAACTTAAGTGTCTTAGAAGTGTCACAGTGGACCAAGTTAAAGTAATTCACACCATTTTTGCTTTTTTACTGAGATGGTAACCAACGACAGGGGGTTATACCAACATCACGATACTTGCCTAGAAATTCCCAGAAAAGGCAATTTCTCGTCTCCTAAATAACAACCGAATAGCCAGTATTCACCTTGACGCCTCACGTATCCCCTCATGTGTGTAGAATAATAAGTAATTGAGTCCAAGCTCAAATGACAGATGCATTCTAACTGGTGCCACCTGAGACACGCGAACCCTGGCTAGTTGCTGACTTGCTCATGTGCCAGTTTGAGTTCTCTGAGAGGAAAGACCTGAGTGTTTCCTGGACAAAACTATACTTGCTTTTCTATAGTGGGGGGCGGGATCAGCACTGACTGTTTGCAAACATTTTCTGCTGCACACTTCAAACAAGCTCTAGAGGTTGTCCCTTGTTTGAAAAAAGAAAAAAAGATCTAAAGGATTTTTAATGACACGACGTCCCTCAAACGGAAAGAAAATCAACCCTTTTTCTTCTTTTAAAATGTACTCGAGTGTCGACGAACAGAGAAAACGACTAGTAATTGCCTTACTCGCCTATGTTAATTGAAGTTAAAAGAAGCTATAATAAGATTCTGTCTTTGTCGGGAATTGGACACATTAAGAAAGAAGAGAGCGGTTAATATCTCCATTATCCAGTTAAGTGAATAACTGACTTATTTGCAGAACTTAAAAGCCCCTTTTTATAAATCTGACCTGACTCGTAAAAACCACGACACTCCAGTTTAACTGGTCTTATAAGATCAACTGAATCCACATCGGGGGGTTCTTATCCACAGCGCCCGAAGTGCGCAAAGGATTTTCACTCTCGTGCTCAAGAGCACTTGTAAAATAGAGCTGAGATATTATTAATTTAGCTCAGGTAACACCACCTGACTCAGAGGAGGGAAAAAAGCAAGAAGCACAATCGGAACGAGGCTTTAGAATATTTTGCATTTAAAGCGTGGGCGCGATTTTACGCCTCCGTTTTAAAGACAAATGACAAATCATCGGCATTAGTATCACGTTTCCTATGAGTGTCTTCTGTGTTTGTGCGCGCGGTCGTATCTGTGTGTTTTAATCAGCTCCGATCACTCACGGCTCACTTAGCAGTTAACAGTGACTGCGTTGTGCGCTCCCGAGCACGGTGGTCGTTGTGCTCGCGGCGCAAGGCGCACGGACTGGAGATGGCGAAGGGTCGACGCGCCGGAAAACAGCTGTGTCCCGCAAAACGGCTGAGTAACCAAACACTGAAATTATCTAAAATATTTCTCCCCTCTTCTCCTGTAACATTCTCACTTCTTCTCTTAGTGGAATGAAACGCAAAATAGTGTAGGGACATGGACGGTCTGTGACTTTTGTCTGTACACATTGCTCTTTGACAGCTTTTCTGGTTTGGATGGTCGTCAGTATTGCTCCCCCCTCTCTCCCTTTCTCTCTCACTCTGTACAGGTTAAGGTCCGCTGCAGCTCGGCTGTGGTTGAACAGTTTTCATTGGGCACATGGGGAAATCTGGCTCTAATCGTGTAATAATAACACACCTAAGGCTGTTTAAAAAGCAAAAGATTAACCTTGCCTTCACTCTATCTCTTTCTGCCAGTGCATTCTGCCGTTTCAGTACACAGTCAAAGTGGTTCCTTGGTGCAAGTGTTCCCTGTTCATTTGTTGCTACATTGGCTGTGTCAGCCTATGCTTGCATTTACAGTAGGTGTATGTCTGTGCCCTCCATTAGTCACATAGGCCCTGAGTCATCTGCATTTGTGTGTATGCCGCTGTCTGTCATACAGTAGCTGCGATCTGTAATACTTCACAATATCCCACCTCCTCACTTCAGTCCCAGAATTAACAACTTTGAAAGACATTTTGTTCAGATGTGAGATAGTTTTCTGTTTTGTTCTAAGTATTACATGTCACATCACCTCCTAATTAGGGATATTTATTGTACCCCGATCTTCCAATATATCACCGTTTGTGTCACCCTTATGACTGGCATTTCTATTTTCATGTCACTCAGTTTCACTGTAATTACATCATTGTGGTATTTCATCATCCAGGTCATCTCTAGGATGACATTGTAGGCTTGTTCAAACACCAAGGATCTGACAAGTGCCAGTTCAGAGGCAAACAGTTTGTTCTGGAAGATTCAGAGGCTGAAAAGTCACTGGGGGTAATGTCTCAGGTCTGTAATCTTAGCAGGAGGTCATGGGTGGGTGGTTTAGAAGCCGTACACCCTCTCATGCAGTGAGATATGGCTGATATTTTCTTTTTTGGTACTTAGTTTGAAAGTTTTTAAAAAAATTTAGCTGCAAAAGCAACTGATGCAGTTTCACTGAATTAGTTTATGGTTTGTCGTAACCGTTTGTCGTAAAACTGAAACAGCTATGACAGATGAGCTGAGAAAAAAAATCCACTTCCAGTACCACTTTCCTATGAAATAACAGAAATTACTCTTCCTATGCACCGTTCATGAGTTTGGGATGTCAAATCAAAAACTCCTTTAAAAAAATCCTTATAATTTGGTTTTGTCGTCTATTCCTTACTGACTGATATTTGTACTAAAATAAGTTTACTGTAGATGTAATGTATCATACAAATGCACAATTATTATTACACCGAGTTTGTAACAGCCCCACACCAATAAAAATAAAAAGAATTTAATAAATATAAATATTTTAGTTGGTCTTTTTGAAACTCTTCAATATCAGTATATGCATAGGCCCTGGGTTATACTCTTGATGCGTATTGAAGGAATATGCTTGTTTCCAATTGCCAGACTGGGGCCATTTAAAAAGTGTAAATCAGGAAATCTCATCAGTCTCGCTCCACAGTTTCACAGACATTAATGACAGCGAACTGCTCCTTTCCAGCACTAGTCGCTGGAATAGCTATGTGGCAGATTGTACTTTATTTGTCAAAGATGGGAGGGGTGGGGGGGTGCACTGTTCAGTATATATATGTGTGTGTACATGTGTGTGTGTTTTGCCCAGTGTGTTTCACCCCATGTGCTTGAGCGTGTTTCGCGCTACACCGTTAACCTGTAGCAGAGTGTCAGCACTACGCACCATTACTCATGGAATACGGAGCATCAATAATTACTGACATAAAATCACTGACACATACACACACCTACATGCACAAACACATTTGTTTTACTATCCCTATGGGAACTCTAATTCCCCAGCATTCCCTACTGCCTTAATTCTAACCCCAACCTAACCACAAGCTAAACTACACCTTAAACCATTGAAACAGAATGGACCAGTCTGTCACAGAAGACACCAACACTGAGGTCCCCATAGTGACTCAGAGTCTGCATGGTTTGGTGTGCAGTCAGTGTAAAGACCTCACTTGCATATAAAAAAACAGTCACGGGACTTCTCACCTTGGCCTTTCTATATGCCGCCTTCACTCCCTGGGTTCTTTGTGTCTCATTGTTGGTTTCATTCACCGACTGAATCATTCAGGCACGCACTCGCATCACTCTTTGCTGTGCACACAGAGCCACTGTCACGCATATACAGCACATTCAAACACACCCGCACACAGAGGCTGCTTATTCTGTGAAAAACAAGCAACAGAGAAGATTGTAAATCAGAGAAGGGGCATTTCAGAGATAGGAAATGTGAACTTCTAACATTTACTCATGAAAGCAAAAGGGGATATGTGGAAGGGAAAGAAAGCGTGAGATGTGAGTGCTACTTCTAAACGCCACATTGTTAGAAAATCATGCCACTTCAGTTTGAGCCTTTTTCACTTTGCCTCTCTGTCATACACATATGCACATGCTCATATAGCCTTTTTGTCGTGGTGAAAGTGAGAGGGTAGAGCACACAGAGAGAGAGAGAGAGCACAGAGAAGGTCACACAGACACTGAAAAACAAAAAAAGGGGTGTATTCGATGGAGTGGACACGAGACACTCTCCACTGACTGCCTCCTTTTTCTCAGCATTCATGAGTTTAACTTTGTTTTTTTTGGAGGTGTCTTGCATGCTACAGATTTACTGAATCACTACAGGGCTGCTGGTGTCGTTCACTTGCCTGTCATCCGGAAAGTACAGAATCAGTCAATATAACAACGCATAGGATTTAATATATATATATTTTTTGCACTAGCAGAAAAGATTGTAGGGCTGAACATTAATCAAATGCCAGTTTGTGAAGCTGCTGAAACTTCAGACATACCGGGTGAAGGTTTTATTAATTCACTGTTTTGTTCCTTGAGTTGTCAGCAAAGACGTGTCACTAATATCTACATTTTATTTTCACCTTCTATTAGTTGTGAATATTTCTTACAATATATTGGGCCAACAATATTCAGCACCACACAAAAAATAGACAGACTTCTGCCAGCTGGCAGGTTCAAGTGTTATTCATCTTGTCATGTTTCCAGCATGAAACAAAAGCGAAAAGCTTAAGAAAATTTGAATACTTGATGCCCTTTAAGCTTATTTTTCTTTTCCCTTTTGAACCTGATTTTATCACCATTCATTAATATTTTGTTAATTATCCAAAGCCTAGAATGTTACTGAAGTGTGTAGGTTTGTTTTGTTTTCCTGTTTTCATCTTTATGCCTTTCACAAAAATCTTTCATTTGTTGGA